ACTGCAATTTTCGATACTATCCATATTATTTTAGGCCTTTTGTTCGATTTGATAATTTTAATAATTTTAAAATATTTTTTTTAGTTTTTAGAAATATCACTATAATGATGCAAAATTTTCTAAACTCTTCCAGAAAGATCTTTTCGGTTAGTTTGGTTTAATCTGATTTAATTAATTTAAAAATATCTCGATTCTTACAGATTATATCAAAACAGGATAAAAACTCAAAATCAGATCCAAGTGCTTAATTTAGTTTGTTTTATTGCTCCAAAACAAAAAGATTTTTTAATTTTTTTCGTTTTATTTTTTTTTTATTTTATTATTAAAACTAATGATTTTCAAAAACGAATTTTAAAAATTTCATAAAAACTAACGCAGAAAAATTCAAAATTAAGTCCCAAATACGTTATTTCAGCTTATTCCAAATAATTTGTCTTAATTATATTTCTTATCTGAAAGAAATCATAAAAGCAGATCCTAAATACCGCACTTTTTATAAAAAAAAAATTATTTGTGTTTTTGACTCTTAACAAAAAATGCTTATTTGTTTGAAGAAAAAATCGTGTGGAAAATCGTCTTTTCGTAGTTTGAAACAAAAAAACCCATCCAAATGTTTAAAAAATTTATTCACGTATCGATAAATAATAACAATAATAAAACCTAGGGTTTATTGGCATCGTTTCTGGCCCGCCTCTCCGAGCCCGTCCGTCGACAAACAAAAGCAAAACATGCAACAACGAAACAAATCAAGTAGAAAACAAGCAGCGCTATTGGGGGACTCCCATAATTATGAAACTTCAAATTCGAGCTCAAATATCCGTAATTTGATAAGACTTGAGTTCCGTTTCCGGTCGGACACGGCAATTGCACTATGATATCCTGGTGTTGGACTTGCTTGTTCCTGCAGTACATCAGAGCTGAACTGCTTGCGATTGCTTCGGGGGATAACTCGCGACTTAGTAAGTATGGCATTGTCCACGTTGGGGGACTCAAAAATTGCAAGAATTTCACGTAATTTGGTAAGTCTTTGAAATGGACTAGATAGCCGGAGGAGAGGAAGAAGGCGGTGAGGAAAAGGGAGGAAATCGTCGCTGCGGTGTTGTGAAATGGGACCAAGTAGATGAAAACGAGGAGAAATTCTTGAATTGTGATCAAATAAAGAAGCATGAGGCCGATGTAGACATAGAAGCCCTCGTAATCGTTCAGACTTTGCATGTAAAGCCCCGACATGGAGTAACTCGGGACCAAGTAAATCAACCAGATGAAGAGTGACGGCGGCAGATTTATGATACTCTAAAAATAAAAAAATAAAAAATAAAAAAAAAATAAAAAAAAAAAGAAATGATAAAAATTTGGACTTACTTTTAAAACAATGTAAGTCAGTAAAAAATAAACAACAAAAAAATAAAAACGGAAAAAAAATAAACTAAACATTAAAAAAAATTGGGTTTACTTTTGAAACAATGAAAGTCATTAAACAAAAAAAAACTTGACTTGAATAATGTAAGTCAGTGAAAAAAGAAAACAAAGAAATTTAAAAAATGCAAAAAGAATTAAAGTAAAACATCAAAAAAATTTAGACCTACTTTTGAAACAATCTAAGTCAGTAAAAAATAAACAAAACAAAAAAAATCAAAAACAAAAAATTAAGCCCTACTTTTGAAACAATGTAAGGCAGTAAAAATAAACAAAAAAAATTAAAAAAAAATAAAATAAAAAACAAAAAATTTGGACTTACTTTTGAAACAATGTAAGTCAGTAAAAAAATTAAAGAAAAGGTAAGGAAATTATAAAAAAAAACAAAAAAAGAATGGGCTTATTTGAGAAACAAAGAAAGTCAGTAAAAAAACATTAACAAAACAGGAAAACAAAAAAAACAAAAAGAATTAAAGTGAAACATTAAAAAAAAA